TGCAGTGAAATGATGATAGAGCGGAGGGTACGGAGTCCCGACTAAAACCAGGAAGTACGACCACATTAGTCCAGTCCTCAGGTCTCTGCACCTGTGGCTCAGAGAATAGACTTTAAAACAGCTCTGATTGTGACAAGTCTCTCCATGAACCAAAGTACATCAGTGACATGTTAGTGCCACATGAACCAAGTCTGGGGAGCACAGGGACTGGCTTCCTGCAGGGACTCTGAGGAGCACAGGGACTCTGTCTGTATCTGGTCTGTGTCTTGTCTCTATGTCTTCTTGTCTCTGTCTCTGTCTGTGTCTTGTCTTTCTCTGTCTGTGTCTTGTCTTTCTCTGTCTTGTCTTTTTCTGTCTTGTCTTTCTCTGTCTGTGTCTTGTCTCTGTCTGTGTCTTGTCTTTCTCTGTCTGTGTCTTGTCTGTCTCTGTCTTGTCTTTTTCTGTCTTGTCTTTCTCTGTCTGTGTCTTGTCTCTGTCTGTGTCTTGTCTCTGTCTGTGTCTTGTCTTTCTCTGTCTGTGTCTTGTCTTTCTCTGTCTGTGTCTTGTCTGTCTCTGTCTTGTCTGTCTCTGTCTTGTCTTTCTCTGTCTGTGTCTTGTCTTTCTCTGTCTTGTCTTTCTCTGTCTGTGTCTTGTCTTTCTCTGTCTGTGTCTTGTCTCTGTCTGTGTCTTGTCTCTGTCTGTGTCTTGTCTTTCTCTGTCTGTGTCTTGTCTCTGTCTCTGTCTTGTCTTTCTCTGTCTGTGTCTTGTCTTTCTCTGTCTTGTCTTGTCTCTGTCTGTGTCTTGTCTTTCTCTGTCTGTGTCTTGTCTCTCTCTCTGTCTTGTTTCTGTCTGTTTGTCTCTGTCTGTGTCTCAGTCTCTGGCTGTGTCTCAGTCTCTGGCTGTGTCTCAGTCTCTGTCTGTGTCTCAGTCTCTGTCTGTGTCTCAGTCTCTGTCTGTGTCTCAGTCTCTGGCTGTGTCTCAGTCTCTGTCTGTGTCTGTGTCTCAGTCTCTGTCTGTGTCTCAGTCTCTGTCTGTGTCTCTGTCTTGTCTCAGTCTCTGTCTGTGTCTCAGTCTCTGTCTGTGTCTCAGTCTCTGGCTGTGTCTCAGTCTCTGTCTTGTCTCAGTCTCTGTCTGTGTCTCAGTCTCTGGCTGTGTCTCAGTCTCTGTCTGTGTCTGTGTCTCAGTCTCTGTCTGTGTCTCAGTCTCTGGCTGTGTCTCAGTCTCTGTCTTGTCTCAGTCTCTGTCTGTGTCTCAGTCTCTGTCTGTGTCTCAGTCTCTGTCTGTGTCTCAGTCTCTGTCTGTGTCTCAGTCTCTGGCTGTGTCTCAGTCTCTGTCTGTGTCTCAGTCTCTGTCTGTGTCTCAGTCTCTGTCTGTGTCTCTGTCTTGTCTCAGTCTCTGTCTGTGTCTCAGTCTCTGTCTGTGTCTCAGTCTCTGGCTGTGTCTCAGTCTCTGTCTTGTCTCAGTCTCTGTCTGTGTCTGTGTCTCAGTCTCTGTCTGTGTCTCAGTCTCTGGCTGTGTCTCAGTCTCTGTCTGTGTCTCAGTCTCTGTCTGTGTCTCAGTCTCTGTCTGTGTCTCAGTCTCTGGCTGTGTCTCAGTCTCTGTCTGTGTCTCAGTCTCTGTCTGTGTCTCAGTCTCTGGCTGTGTCTCAGTCTCTGTCTTGTCTCAGTCTCTGTCTGTGTCTCAGTCTCTGTCTGTGTCTCAGTCTCTGGCTGTGTCTCAGTCTCTGTCTGTGTCTCAGTCTCTGTCTGTGTCTCAGTCTCTGTCTGTGTCTCTGTCTTGTCTCAGTCTCTGTCTGTGTCTCAGTCTCTGTCTGTGTCTCAGTCTCTGTCTGTGTCTCAGTCTCTGGCTGTGTCTCAGTCTCTGTCTGTGTCTCAGTCTCTGTCTGTGTCTCAGTCTCTGTCTTGTCTCAGTCTCTGTCTGTGTCTCTGTCTGTGTCTCAGTCTCTGTCTGTGTCTCAGTCTCTGTCTGTGTCTCAGTCTCAGTCTCTATCTGTGTCTCAGTCTCTGTCTGTGTCTCAGTCTCTGTCTGTGTCTCTGTCTCTGTCTTGTCAGTCTATATCTGGTCTGTTGGATTCTCTTGTTGGTCCATCTACTTTTATCTTGCCTTTTTATTGCTCGATGTCTGTATGATTTGTGTTGGTTTTTATGCTGTAGTTTGGGGAATATTTTTTTGTATTGAATTGTCATCACCATCTGCCATGAGTTATCAAACCTTTAAATAAAGACAATTATCCATCCATCCATTAGTCACTGATTACAGAAAACTGCTCGAGATATTGTTGGAAATAACTATGGTTGGGTGTTGTAAAGGAGGTAGAGAGAGAGAGAGAGAGAGAGACAGAAAGAGTGAGAGAGAGAGAGAGAGAGAGAGAGAGACAGAAAGAGTGTGTGAGAGAGAGAGAGTGAGAGACTGAGAGAGAGAGAGAGAGACAGAAAGAGTGAGAGAGAGAGACAGAAAGAGTGTGTGAGAGAGAGAGAGAGAGAGAGAGACAGAAAGAGAGAGAGAGACAGAAAGAGTGTGTGAGAGAGAGAGAGAGAGACAGAGAAAGAGTGAAAGAGAGAGAGAGACAGAAAGAGTGTGAGAGAGAGAGAGACAGAAAGAGTGAGAGAGAGAGAGAGAGTAACAGAGAAAGAGTGAAAGAGAGAGAGAGACAGAAAGAGTGAGAGAGAGAGAGAGACATAGAAATAGTGAGAGAGACAGAGAGAGAGAGTGAGAGAGACATAGAAAGAGAGAGAGAGAGACAGAGAAAGAGAGAGAGAGAGACAGAGAAAGAGTGAGCGAAAGAGAGACAGAGACATAGAAATAGTGAGAGAGACAGAGAGAGAGTGAAAGAGAGAGAGACAGAAAGAGTGAGAGAGAGAGAGAGACATAGAAATAGTGAGAGACAGAGAGAGAGAGTGAGAGAGACATAGAAAGAGAGAGAGAGAGATAGAGATACAAAGAGAAAGAGAGAGATATTGATCCCCGTAGGATAAATGCAGGTGTCCAAAAGCAGCCAAAACAAAAAATAAAATGTATCATTCTAAAAAGCTAACCATAGTAATGATTAACATTAAATACAAGCTTATATTATCTTATCGTATCTTATTAGCAAACGCCGTTCTGCCCGTTCTGCCACAGGGCTTAGCATTAGCATTAGCATTAGCATGCACTAATATTTCACTATAGATAAGTACAGCGTGTTGACTGTGGGCATATGTGGCGTGTTATTGGACAGCTTGAGGCCACACAAACATATGGAGAGACGTGTGCAGGATACAAAGCCATCAGGGAGCAGTGCATATGGAGCAGGATCATCGGGCTAAGTTCCAACGCCGTGTTAGAACATGACTTATTTAGCTGCTGTCTGAACTCTACCGCCTAATAACAGCCTTTTTTTTAAAAGATACAGCATGTAACGTTTAAATGCATTCATGTTTTCAGATTCAGACTGGTTTATATATCCCACCAGGGGCAATTTGTTTGAGCAGGACAGGGCATAAAAGATATTAAAAAAACATGAAAACGTAGGACATGTCAGAGAGTAACATGAGCGCTGTGATATAACTAGCAAATAATGTTTATTTATATAGCGCCTTTCACAGACCACAGTCACAAAGCGGTTTACAATTGTGGGCATTAGTCTGTCACTCCACACAGAGATGGGAGGGGCCAGTACAGGAGGCACAGACCTATTGCACATGTTTTTAGTGGTAGGGGAAACCGGAGCACCTGGAGGAAACCTACACAGACACGGGGAGAACATGCAAACTCCACTCAGAAAGACTCTGGTCCGCCCGATATTGAGACTAAGGATATTTACAGCAACTAGAGATGAAAAAAATGACAAAAATTGCTCAATGTATCCAAATTTTAGCACATTTCGACTGCTTTAAAAGAAGATTTTCCATTGGGCCAAGAACAATTATTTGTTTTAAAAAGATAAAGTATATACGCCTAAATGTCTTTGTCCTACTGGAGAATCTTGTTTTAACACAGTCATTATTGTATGACTTTTAATTATCTTTAGGGAGACTATGTGCACCTGTCAAAAATAGGGTTCTTGGCTAATTCTGGTGCATTTACAGAAATCTTAGGCTATATCCACACGAAGACAAAACGCTTATAATTTCAGAAACTTTTTCTGTAAACACGGAGTTAGCTCAGTAAATGTGTGCGTCCATATGAATGTAGTCAATACGCCTGAAAACGCTGTGAAACTATGCCAGACCTGTTGGTGGCGCTGTGACGCAATGACGGGATCAAGCCCAAACTTCCGTGACGGGAACTGGGCATGCGCGGAATTTTGTAAACAGACAACATGGCGAGTGGGCGAGCTGGTACTACATTAGTATGGACGGACGATGAGGTTGAACTGTTGCTTCGGGTCACACTGGATTACAAAACCAACAAGCTACATTGTTGTTGTCATTATTTTCTGAGTGCGGCGCATGCGTGCTTTAACAAGAGGCGGGCGATGACGCAAGCGTCTCAGATACATTGCGGAGAGGCAGTAACCACGGAGCGGCATATACGGAGTTTTGAAATCTTTCCACTCTGGGACCTAGTTTCAAAAATGTTCGTTTACACCCCCCCAAAACGCCGGCCTCGTATGGACGATACACTGGATTGATAAAGTATTTTTGCGTTTAGGCCTGAGCTTGACTTCGTGTGGACAGGGCCTTAATTAATGCACAATGTCCCCGTCAAATAAACTAATAATAATAATAGTAATAAAATAAATAAAATAAATAAAATAAATAAAATAAATAAAATAAATAAAATAAATAAAATAAATAAAATAAAAATAATAATATCATCAAATTAAGATAAACAAATGAGTGAATAATTTATTTCAAGCCATGGCAGACAATATTTTTTTTTTACCTCATATGTTTTGATTTTTTGCAGAGTTCTTAAGGGATCACGACTTTGCGGTTCTGAGCTGCATAACAACGCCCGCTGTTGCATGCGTGTCTGTCGCAGCAGCGCAATAAAGTTAGCATAGCATAGCTTTTCCATGTAGCTCCAAGCAGATAACATCACAACACTGCCTCTGTCTTCTCCAGATCCTGTGATGGGTGTTTTGACACATAACCGATATTACAACCCCCTGGATCTGACCCAAAAGAAAGCTCAGCACGCACAAAAGCCATATTAATCCTATTGAGTCCCCCCCGGCGTGATCGACAGCTCGCAGTCTCCTAATTCATTCAGGATTCCGTCGGGCGATCGGCGGTGAATATATGAGGTGGGATCGGCACTACATAGAGCTCGTTTGCATGCACCGTCCGTTGTCGTATCGATCGAGCTGTCTCTACGGCTGAAAGATTGTGGATCCATAACCTTTAGCAGAAATTATGTAAAACAGCTGCATGCAACACAAATGCAGGGTGTCCAGCTCTGCAGCAGCTTCCAGGACTTCAATGTTAGCCCGTAAAAAAAACACCAGAGTAGCAGTCAAGAAGATTTCCATGCCTTTAAAAGGAGCTATACCCGTTTCTGCAGGATTCTTTCGGTTTGATTGTTTAGCCCCGCCCCCAACTCTCTCATAGGCTTCTCATGTCCCCTACGCTCTCCTCCCACGGAGCCATCTTGTTTTATTTGCGATCTGATACGTATGCTAACAGTAGCATTAGCGAAACTTAAGCTGTACAACAATCACTATATATATAACTGAAAGATTATCGCTAGTTTCACCTCCAAATGTAGTCAGAGCACAGATAGTCCGAGCGTAGATAGTCCAAGCACAGATAGTACGAGCGTAGATAGTCCGAGCGTAGATAGTCCAAGCACAGATAGTCCGAGCGTAGATAGTCCGAGCGTAGATAGTCCGAGCGCAGATAGTCCGAGCGCAGATAGTCCGAGCGCAGATAGTACGAGCGTAGATAGTCCGAGCGTAGATAGTCCTAGCGCAGATAGTCTGAGCGTAGATAGTCCGAGCGCAGATAGTCCGAGCGTAGATAGTCCGAGCGTAGATAGTCCGAGCGTAGATAGTCCGAGCGTTGATAGTCCGAGCGTAGATAGTCCAGCGTAGATAGTCCGAGCGTTGATAGTCCGAACGCTGATAGTCCGAGCGCAGATAGTCCGAGCGTAGATAGTCCGAGCGTAGATAGTCCGAGCGTAGATAGTCCGAGCGTAGATAGTCCGAGCGTAGATAGTCCGAGCGTAGATAGTCCGAGCGTTGATAGTCCGAGCGTTGATAGTCCGAACGCTGATAGTCCGAGCGCAGATAGTCCGAGCGTAGATAGTCCGAGCGTAGATAGTCCGAGCGTAGATAGTCCGAGCGTTGATAGTCCGAGCGTTGATAGTCCGAACGCTGATAGTCCGAGCGCAGATAGTCCGAGCGTAGATAGTCCGAGCGTAGATAGTCCGAGCGCAGATAGTCCGAGCGCAGATAGTCCGAGCGCAGATAGTACGAGCGTAGATAGTCCGAGCGTAGATAGTCCTAGCGCAGATAGTCTGAGCGTAGATAGTCCGAGCGCAGATAGTCCGAGCGTAGATAGTCCGAGCGTAGATAGTCCGAGCGTAGATAGTCCGAGCGTTGATAGTCCGAGCGTAGATAGTCCAGCGTAGATAGTCCGAGCGTTGATAGTCCGAACGCTGATAGTCCGAGCGCAGATAGTCCGAGCGTAGATAGTCCGAGCGTAGATAGTCCGAGCGTAGATAGTCCGAGCGTAGATAGTCCGAGCGTAGATAGTCCGAGCGTAGATAGTCCGAGCGTTGATAGTCCGAGCGTTGATAGTCCGAACGCTGATAGTCCGAGCGCAGATAGTCCGAGCGTAGATAGTCCGAGCGTAGATAGTCCGAGCGTAGATAGTCCGAGCGTTGATAGTCCGAGCGTTGATAGTCCGAACGCTGATAGTCCGAGCGCAGATAGTCCGAGCGAGATAGTCCGAGCGTAGATAGTCCGAGCGTAGATAGTCCGAGCGCAGATAGTCCGAGCGCAGATAGTCCGAGCGCAGATAGTCCGAGCGTAGAT